CTACACTTATTGAACTAGAAATGTAATTATTTTCTCCATATCATAATTACTTTATACGTTTAATTTCATTGAACCTTTATTCGTAGTTGTCAATGTATAATATATCTCAGTACACTATAAATAGATCAAGAGCTCCATTGGTAAGGATATCAAATAATCGAAAGTTTTAAATTTGATTGACACCTCTTGTGTTGTAATGTTTCTGTTAGTTGGCCAAATTTAAAAATGAAAAGAGAACGTACGAATTATTTTCACATTAAGCTCGTAAGAATTCAACACTGCAGAAGTTTGAATTTTTCTAACAATTACTTATCATTTGAGTGAATGATATGTTTCTATTGATTCACACAATGTCTAACTCATCAAATCAAACAATGCATGGTAATATGTGTAATGTTATATCCAACGTTGCATATTTTTTAAATATCATATATTTTTTAAATATCATGATTCATTGAGTTGTTGATCAATGGTTGTGGTAGAAAATAATTTTATTACAGTGTCTTCTTGAAGTGATAACGAGCGATAAATAACGTGAAATTTACATGCTAAATCTGTCATAAAAATAAATATGTAAGAAAATTAATAAGTTATTAATGCTCCACTTACTTAAATATGTTCAGAGCTCAAGCTCTTATTACATAAACTGTGATACTTCATTTCAGTTATGTTAAGAACGCGTATGGTACGAGAAATTTATCATTACAATTAGCTTCAATTACAGAAAGGGAGACAATTATATAAATCATCGTATCCCTGGCCTATTTATACTGATTCTAATTTCGAAATTTATATCTACGTTTCGTAGTTTCCGCGTTATTAATTTCGTATAACTGATCGTTAGGATACTTACTGTCTTAAACGTTTATATCTCTGTTGTTGAACATTTTGTATTCTATGACATAAACTGCTGATCAATTTTTATTAAAGTTTCTCCTTAAAGTGACAACAAGTGGAAAATAACGAGAATTTTATTAATTTTTAAATATATAAATTAATTTTCAAATAATGAAATTAATTTTTAAATTTTTCGAATACAACGCCAACCACTTAACTCCACTGTTTACAAATTTTACAATTGCGAGTATTTCAAATTTTGCCTCTACGAATTGCAACGTTACAATTACTTTTGACAGTATTTGAATTACACAGTTTTCTCGAATTACAAATCCTTGCACTTCCTGCCTTTACAGGAAGCATCTGCGAAAATATTTCATTGAAACGTTCCCTCAAGAAGTAACAACGTACGTAAGAGTTTCTAACTTCGCTGTTGTATTTGTTTTCAGGTACAAGGATAGAATGATTAATATCCGAAACATCATACAAGATACACCATACGATATAGTGAAAAATCTGGCTTGGTGGACGGAATATGTGATTCGTACGAAAGGAGCGCCCCATCTTCGCTCCAGCATAACATTCCAACCTTGGTATCAACGTTACGACTTGGAC